GTGCTACAGTACGAATGTAGCTTTTTTTAATTATGAAAAAAACCTTTCTCTTATTTCTCTTGCAGTGACTGTATTTATCCCACCCCACCCTTTTTTGATGGACGTATCCCCGGTTTGCCTACCGGTTGCTAGTATGTTTCTCCCTCCTCTCTCCCCTCCCCGCAGGCCCTCACTTTTAATCTGAATCCCTCAGGAGGTAGACACAAATGTTAACCCCTGTGGCTGTTCCCAGTAGAGGAACCTTGGAGCTGTTTTACTGTCAGTTTTTCATTTCGGTATTGACGTTAAGGATAAGGGGCCTGACATGTACTTGGCTAGCTAGAAGTTTCACCTCTTTTCTCATCTTCACAGGAACTTGAGGGTTGTAGTATTTTAGTGTGTGTAGCACTTTCGCCTTTCCTCTTTGGATTTCAGAGAATTTGAAAAATCTTTTAACTCCCTCATTTGCTAATCTGCTCATACTTCAGGTCTGAAAATGGGGTTAGCTGAACTAGTAGTACAGTAGCCAAGTTGAGGAAGGAAGTATATTCAAGCTATTCAGGGAAATAATAGACTTTTTTGTTTAAAGACAAAATACATAACCTTGTTAGTTTTTTCCCTGTTTTTCAATGATATAGTTTCAGTAAAAATGTATAATAATTGCTGCTGTAGCAAAAGTTTTGTTGTTACAAGTAGGCAGATAGTGATAAATATTCAATAATGAGTATTTCCCATTAAATCATATGTTGCAAAATACAAATATAGGGTTAGGAGGAAAGGATGTTTTGAGATGTTAACTCCCACTGATTTTGGCTTTTAAAGCTGTTTATCCTTGGCCCAAGCCCATCAGAAATTAATCTGCAAAACTTTAAGGGATCTTTGAAGCACAGGATTATCAAAAAAGTTCCCTTTCATGGGACTCCAAAATTTAGCAATAGGCATAATCATTAATATTTACCTACAAGATACTGTGATATCGTTTAAAATTTATAAGCTCTGATATGTTTGTCCTTCATGGTTGAATAATTCTTAGATTTTTCATCATTGCCCCCTACCTTTCCCCCACAAAAAACATTGACTTGAAAACAAGAATGCACCAGAGATTTTAAGGTTAGGAATATAGGTTTTTAATAATGCAAACCATGAATGAGCTGGAGTGTGAACGCCCCTGGCCACGTGCAGGGTGTGTATGAACCTTGGCGGGTTTGTCTCCCATTTCCCCTAATTTCTCAGAGGGGTCCTGTTGTTATAGAGCAACCCCAATATTAAACGGGTTCCTGGCTGTGGGTCCTCACCCGCGCGCTTTAAAGGGACTTATGAATACTCTACTACAGGCACACACAAAAGGGTTAATAAAAGGTTTATTTACAAGAGATAAGGAAATAAGGAAAATGTACAACTCAGGGAGAAAATAGGGAAATAAAGTCTTTAATGCGTCCTACCCGATCCGACGACCTGGAAACCCAAAGTCACTCTCAGAGCTGGCCGGACGCTGCGAGCTGGCCGAGCGCCCAAAAATGGAGAGAGCCCCAAAGCCCACGTGTCTGCCTTTTGTATCCACCTGGCTGCTTAACCCCACCCTCAGGTCCCAGCCACCTTCCCTTGGGTGGTGATGGGATTTGGAGTTCCCAGTGTCTTTGGCTTTGACCTGGGATGGGGGTGGAGTCCACAAAGCCTGTATGGAATTTGCTTTGGGACATCCTTTTCCCCCTAACACTGTGACTTTCCCACTTATGCACTCAAAAAATCAGGTCAGAAGATCCTTGTCAGTCTCCCTTAATCGAGTTAAATGAGATGGAGGCTAAAGAATTGATACTTAGTGCAAAGTATGTTCACTTTGTGGGATACGCCCCAAAGATCATTGTGATGAAAGAGTTAACCCTGTGACTACTATTGTCAGTTCCGAAATGAGGAATGAGGAAAGGCGGTTAGTTTGGCCAGATTGGAATATGACTCCTTGAGTTGATACTTGACCTCAGCAGTTAACCCTAGAATTACAATGACAAGGGATTGTAGTTGCTGCTGTTCTAAGCTGGTGGCATTTGCTTGTTGTTAATGATTTTGGAGTTCTCACCTCAACGAATAGGGTCTCCTGTTGTCAGCTCCAATCTGTGGACACTGTAAGACTACAGCTAATTGCTGGAATGCTGCAGCTTTATGTGAGCTGTTCATCTCTACTTTGTCCTTAAGAGTGCTGCTCGGTGAAGGTTATTAGCGTAGGGTTTTTGAAAAGAGGGAAAAGAAGAGCGTAGCAACGCATGACCCTTTCCTTTAGAAAATTATAAATTAGTGGGAGAGGACATTTTCCTAATACAGGAACTCTTAGAATAAATGGAAAATGCAGGAATCTGTTATGCATTGGTCACACTTAGAACAACTGAAGGGAGGTGAGCTTTTCTTGTGTATTGGATTTTTCTTCTGAGTTTTTAAGGATCAGTCAGTGATAACACTTTTTTAGGTTTGTTTTATAGCTAGTTACATTGCTGTAGTTATTTTGCCCCCATCCAGATGCTGCCCTGAATAGGTTAAGTGGCTACTTGTGGGACCAGATACCTGGGTATGAGTGCTTCAGAGAAATAATTGGGATTTACTTTGTTACATAAATCCTGTGAGGAGTCTTATGCTACCTTTTATCATCTCCAAGATCCCTAACATTCGTAGCACTTTTTTCCTTAGGGCTTTTTGGTTAGTCAGCTTACTCTAAATTATTCCAAGATGTAGATGTCTGGCTCACTTTAATACCCAGTACACTTTCCTCTTCGTGCCTGTCTTGCATATCAAAAGTGAAATCCCATCTCCTTTTCCACTCCATTATCAGTTTTGTGTCCAGAGTGTGCATTTGCCTAACTACAGAACGTTTTCTAATATTTACACTATATCGAGTAGTCAGATATAAGTTGGTACAGTGGAGAAGGTAGAGGCAATAATCAAAAGCATATGGAATTTGTTTTTAGCTTATTTTACCTTTGTCTGTGGTTCAGGAAGGGGAATTTGTGAAGCAGCTAGAAAACATTGCATTTTTCTTTTCACTTAACAGGGAATGCCCCTTCTTTCTGTTTTAACCTTCCAGGGAGAGTTTCGGTTACTGTATCAGTCAGGCCCTCGATCTTTGAAAATCCACTTAAGGTGTAGCACACTTAGGGCTATAAAGGAAGGACTCCACAGTTCCCTCCTGTCATGGTGGTTTAAAGCAGATTTTCTCAGCTTCAGCACTCTTGATACTTTGGGCTGGATAATTCTCAGAGGGATCTGTCCTAGGCATTGTAGGATGTTTAGTAGCATCCCTCACTCTGCCCACCAGATGCCACTATTGTGACAAACAGAGATGTCTCCAGACATTATCAGATTTCTTTGGGGGCAAAACTGACTTTGGTTGGGGCCTCCCCGGTGATGCAGCGGGTTGAGTGCCACACTGTGAAGCTGTCCACAGCCTCTGTAGAGTGGGTTTGATTCCTGGCCGGCCAGTGAGATACCCACATGGCATGGCAGACCTCTCCTGTCTTGCCTGCTGCTCCCCTCAGCAGTGTACTTCGGTCCTTCTGCCTGTTCTGCTCCCCGCTCTGTCTCTGGTGAATCCTCTCACCCCCTACCCCACCCCCGCACCTCTGGCCTGTACCCCAGTTCTTGTATAAATAAATCTTAAAAAAAATTTTTTTAAAAAAACCTAACTTTGGTTGACAGTCACTGATTTATGTTCCCCATCAAACTGTCTTAAACCACTCTTAATTTTCTTTAAGGTAGTTGCTTTAATTTTCAGCATTTATTAAGTCTTTCTCACCAGTGAGTTCTGTAGTGATAGTTATCAAGTACCTTCATTGCTTTGCATTGCTTCAAATCTTCTGTACATCACAGCATTATAACATAGTACATGCTTAATAAAAGCTTTGAATAAATGACTGCATGGATGATATATTAGGTAGCCAAATAATCTGTACCAAGGGAGTTAATACTGCTGAATATTTGGTTTTCTCCTTTAAAATAAACGACTAGATTTGAGATTGTGTTTTGATTCCTTGTTAGTTGGAAGATTATTTGACTAAAGTAAATTAAGATTAAGAAAAACTTGGAGGGCTCTGCATATGAGCATTATTTTGAAGGTCATTTTATGGCACTGTATGAGCAAAGGAAATTAGTTTGAAATTTCTTTTTTTTTTTTTTTTTTTTTTTTGGTGGGACCCTCGCCAGTGGCCGGGGAATGAACCGGCGCTGCAGAGGCTGCGGGCAGCCTCGCAGCCCAGCACTCAACAGCTGTGCCACCAGGGGAGGCCCTAGTTTGAAATTTCTTAATCATACCTCTTTTCTGTTTAATTTTATTTTCCTCTTATGGGGGTCAGAGTGATGAGGGGATTGATCCAGTGAAAGTTTTAGGTAGATAAAATCCATTGTGAGTTTTACGTTGTGTAAATAATAATTATGCACTCTTTACAAATCCTTGTTTGCTTCTTATTTTTCAGTTTAAAACAACATATGGTAAAACTTTTTTCCCCCCTTAAGACCATCATTTAAAAAATGTTGAATGCAAGGAATCAAGATTGGTAATGCTGATTTTTAAGAATCTTCATGATTTGTATACTTAATCATTCAAGGTTAAATTTAAAAAAGTTTTTGGCAAGATTCAAATCCATGTGATGTACATAACAACCATTTTATTCTATACTAGCATTAAATATGTCGAAGTAATTTTGATTGGCGTTTAGGGGACGTCCGTATTCCCCAGTCTCTTAAGATAGTCATATTTTATGATCACTTGCTCTTCCTTTAGAAGGGGTATGTATAGTTAGCTTAAAATTAGTGATATTATTACTTCCGCATGGAATTTCAGATTATCTCTTCAAGGACCAGTTTTTGTTGTTAGTGGACAGCTTCTAACTAAAAATGGTTTGAGAGAATGTAATCAACCTTGACCTTGAACAGTGGCTGAGCTCCTGAACTCTTAAGAGAGCTCATTTTATCTGATTTTGTTTTCTCAACATCTTTCTCTACTCCTTTCTCTCAGGATTGTGCCTCTCCTCCTGCTTGTACAGACTGCTTTTCCAGCAGCATGGACACAAGAAGCATAGTAAGATGACTATAATCCACATAAGGCAGGCCCTTTGGAAAATGTTAGGTTTAAATTGATGGTGAAATGATGTCTTGATTATTTGGGCCGTACTTGGGAGGCAGAAAGAAGTTGTCACTGAAAATATATTAGTAATCTCAAAGAGAACATCTAGTGAGTAAGTTGAATTTCTTCTTTAAAAGTAGGTTGAGTGAAAAAAGTTATTGGGCTTAATAAATAGTGAGCATAAGTCATTTGTAAACTCTTGTTGTATTTACTTGTATTCTGCTTTATGTAATTCTACTGTATTTTTTGTAAAAATAATATAACATTACCTGTTTAATATGAGTGAGTGGCAAACTTCTTAATTTATGGTTGGAAATAAAATACATCTTACTTTTTGAGGAAGTTCTCCAAACTGTAAGATGACAAAGTGGCAGAGATACTGTAGGAATGGAGAAACAAAAATTTCTAATTATAGAGGAGCAGATTGTGTAAAGGCATTACTATGAGAAACGCTCTAAGAAATGTTTCTGTAGCCTGTGATTTCTTATCTAAGTTTATTCTATTAATATCGCAGGCTTGATGATAAAAACAATACATTTTCTTTCTCTGGTTTTTATTTTATGTATTTAGTATTTCTAATGCTGCTTTACAGAGTTTCTGATATAAGCATGTATCAGGGTGTGTAAATATATTATGGTATCTATCTTGGGTGAGGAATATCTTAGGAATTTTTACATTACTGTGTTTAGTCAGAATAGGGGATGTAGTCTATTTGCCTGTTTAGAAGACAGTTATGACTGTTAAGTTAATGTATGCCAGATTTGTTTTTTCAGTAATAATATAACTTATGTAGGTTGGCTTGAAAGGCCTAGGATGATTTCATTCATTCATTTGCTCACTCATTTGACCAATACTCAGTAAGTGCTTCCATGTGCCAGGTATTTATCATTCGCTAGGATATAGTGGTAAATGAGAGAAGCAGAGAGCATGCCCTCTTTGAGTTATGTTTTTGTAATCCTTTTTCTTTGACCTCTTAAGCTCTTTGTACAACAGTCTGCAGCAGAGCTAGTGTGGAGGATGGGCTGGCGGTGCTGGCTCACAGTCCACCTTGTCGGGCTGGGGGTGGTGGCTCTTCAAGCCCATTTACTCCTGGTCCGTTCTCAGTATTTGTCAGTAGTGTCCACATTGGCTGTCAGCTGTTCACACTGGAGACTGAGCAAGTAGACGTGTATAAGCACAAACAAAATGAGCTAGAGTTCTTTTTTTTTTTTTTTTTAATCTCCATTTGGTATTTTGGAATCATAACTTATAAAATACAGCTTTAAGGGTGTTTTTTCAATGAGGGGTGTGTGTTGTATCCACATGACAAATTACTGAAGCAGCTTAAGTGATGACCAAACCTTTTTGAATTTAGAGGAATAAGTTTTTATTTTTATAACGAACTTTTCCTTGATTTAAATATATGAAAACCTTGGTCCGTCTGTGTTATAAATACTTTATAAATTTTGAAGTGATTTCTAAGTACCTTGTTATTGAAGAATGAAACTTTGGGTTATGTTCTTTTTTGAATAAACTTGGGAGACGATACGAAGATCTTTTTATACTGGGGCACAGTGTGAAAAAGGTTGACCAGTACATCTAAAACTAATGGTGTTGTAGATCAGTTATATCTTAATTTTAAAAAAAGGGCCCAATTCCTAGTTAATGGCTTTCTTTAATTTACTAATAGTTTTGATACTCCTAAGATTTTTTGGTTAAAAAAAGAGGTTAGAATTTATTGAAATATTTGAAGTATGTGGGTAGAATTCTGTAGAACAAGGGAATTTTTGTTTGTCTTTTGTTCCCTTCAGGTAAATGTTGAGTAAGTGAAAATTTTTACACACCAAAGCATCTGGTAGAGTGTCTTTGCTGTGATTGGGGGAAAAAAGCCCAGCTCATGTATTTTTAAAATACTTTGCTGGCTAAACATGTTAAACTTGAGCCACTTCATAATATATGGAGTTTTATAGTATCAGTCCAGCTGGCGACCCTCTTGTCCCCAGCCATCCTCTTGCTTTGGTGGATCTTTAGGATCACCTTGTGAGAAGAGTAGCATAGATGCTGTCTACATTTTACAAAGGGGGAAACTAGATCCATCATTGTGATTTCTCCAAGGAAATGCAGCTTTGTAAGTATTAGAACTGAGACTAGAATGACCCAGGTCCCAACTCCTGGTGCAGATGGTTTTCTTTTCCTTGTGAAGGACAACCATCACTCTTTTTTTCACACTTTCTTTTTCCCATCATAAAGTCCAAATATACGTTAACATTATATTTTCCCTCCTTTAAACTTTACTTTTACAACTTTTACAGAGTTTCAAGAATGATAAAGAACTACTTCACTAAATCTTCTGACTCATTATGTTAACCATATTTGCTTTCTTAGTCTTCCCACATACACATGAACACACAACCTTTTTCCCCCGAACGTCTTAAGGTTGTAAGTCATGATAGCATTTACTTCTAAACGACTGCATTCATTTTTAAAAAATGAACAACTTTCTCTTATGTAATCATAGTTATTAAAATTAGGAAATTAACAATGATATAATGGAATTGTCTGGAGAGTTTATTCAGATTTCACAAATCATACAAGTCATGATCTCAATAGGTCACACCTTGCATTCATTGTTTTGTCTATTTAGTATCCTTTAATCTGAAACAGTTGCTTACTCCTTCCTTTGTCTTTTATGGCCTTTGATGAGAATAGGTCAGTTATTTTTAGAATTCCCTCAATATGGATTTGTCTTCTGTTGCTTCTTGATTAGGTTCAGGTTATGCATTTTTGACAGGAATTCCCCAGAAGTAATACTGTGTCCTTCTCAGAAAGTACATGATGTCCATTTATCCATTGGCAGGGATGTTAATTTTTATCTGCAAGGCTTTCTCCATTGTAGAATCAGTGTTTTCACCTTTGTAGCAGCTATCTTATGGGGAGGTATTTGGAATGATGCAGATACTTTGTTACTTTATTACTTGGCATTCTATTTAAAAGCATTTACTTCTCGTGTATGTGTACATATGTGTGTGTATCAGTATGAAATCATAGACTCTTATTTATCCATAGTTTTTTAAAATGCTTTAGATGGTCTCAGTTTTGACCCATCGGCTGGCTCCTCTGTGCTTTTGGCATGTGCTCAGTGTTGTTTGAGTACTCCCTTACTTTCTTTCGTAAGATAGTCCCATCCCCACTCTGGAGTCAGCCATTTCACCAAGAAGCCCTGACATTCTTCTGGAGGATCTCTATTAACAGATTGAGCTGGAAATTATGTGTGTGAATATCCATATATGAATATGTACACTAAACTTTGATCCCTTCGTTCATTCTGTCTCTGCCTCTAAAAACCATGAGTTTTTCCTGGTATCTCCAATTCCAGTTAGACATCCTAGGAGGCACGCTAGCATTTCCCCCTTTCTAAATCTAATTCCTTTCTTCAACAGTGGAACACTAGTTTTTGTTTTCACAGTATACTTATTTTTTCACTAATCTTAAAATAACACAGAAATAGTTTCAGACTTTCTAAAACCATATGTCTATGAAACCACATGTATTAACTAATTAACTAAATTAGTGTATACTTCATATTTAGCCTGTGGGTATACAGTCAACAGTATATACTGTGTTCAACAGTATATACTGTGTTGCCCTGCTCTCTCTCCTCCCCTTCTATTCACTTGACATGTAATTAGGTTTAGGTTTTTCTGCTTGTTTTCCATTTTGTATCCTCACTTTACTGAATTTTTGCTATTTTATTTTTTTACATACTGTAAAACATTAAGCATGAATTACCTATGGTCCACCTTTTTACTAGCTTCAGTATCATAACCACTTATGCTCGGGGTGGGGGGGAGATTAGTAACTCTTAGGTAATGAGTCTTCAAATCAAATAACACACCAACATTCAGAGATTTAGTTATGGAAAGGGTCTTAGGTGAAAGATCTGTTTCTAATAGCATGAATTTAACACAGGTAGAAGAATATATATATATATATTCAAAGAACTTTGTCTCATGAATAGAATCTCCATTCTCAGGAGTAGACGTCTATAAAGTATCAGAATGTTAATAATTTAATTTTCTGGGCCAGTTAAGATATTTTTTTGCATATTCTTGTTTTTTTTTTTTTTTTTAAAGATTTATTTATGCATACAAGGGCTGGGGTACAGGCCAGAGATGTGGGGTGTGTGTGTGAGAGGGTTCACTAGAGACAGAGTGGGGAACGGAACAGGCTGACTGAAATACACTGCTGAGGGGAGCAGCCGGTGAGGCAGGAGAGGTCTGCTGTGCCATGTGGGTCAGCTCTCTGCCTGGCCTGTGATCCAGCTCTTGCTGCAGAGGCTGTGGATTGCTTCATAGTGCAGTGCTTAACCCCTTCCACCACCAGGGAGGCCCCTGCATATTCTTGGTCTTTCACAATTCCTTTAAAATAAAAAAACTGCAGCGCTTGAGGACTTTCAAAGATAGACCTCGGGTTATACTTTGCTGACTCCTTAAGATCTTGATTAGTAGGGCCTCCCAGGTGGCGCAGCGGTAGAGCGCTGGGTTGCGAAGCTGCCCGCGGCCTCTGCGGCGCCGGTTCAATCCCCGTCTGCTCCCCGTCCACCAGAGGAGGGTCCCACATGGCGCGCAGACCTCTCCTGCCGCCCGCTGCTCCCCTCAGCTGTGTACTTAGGTCCTTCTGCCTGCTCTGCTCCCCTGTCTGGCTCTGGTGAATTCTCATACCCTCCCGCGCTTCTGACTGTACCCAGTGCATGTATAAACAAAACAAACAAATAAATAAATAAAAAACATGCTTCTATTAAAAAAAAATCAACAACAACAACAAAAGATCTTGATTAGTAATAAATGACTTGAAAATCAGAATTATAATTGAGCAGGAAGATAAATCCATGCAGACCTTAAGGGCTTTTATTAACATCAAAAATAGAAAGCAGCTTTGAAAGCTACCTTAGTGGAAATATTTATTCAACAAAATTTTTGAGCGCCTACTACTAATGTGCAGGTATGTTCTCTAGGGGTCTAACAGTGTACAGAGCAGACCAAAAACAAAACAGCTGACATAATCTCTGTCCTTGTGGAATCTGCATTCAGGTTTTGTTACGAGTGTGTACTGGAAATGTGTGTTTCTTGTTTT